GAATTTGCCAATCTGTTTCTATCAGTCTGAACATTCTGGCTATTGAGTTCATATGGTTTTGGTAGTAGGATTTTAGTACTTGCAGATGGCTAATTATTTAACTTGAAACATAATTGGAAAACATTGCCCACAAGCTAATTAATGAAATGCAAAATGAATTATTTTAATTAGGATTACTGTTGATAATGTTTATTACTTCTTAAAAACATAATCCTAAATTAATCATCTGTAGTACTGTAAGTCTTATGTGTCTGATTTTTTTTTATTAATCTTGACATGTAGAAAACTTGCACAGCAGGTATGGGGGTTTTTGTTTTTGTTTTTTTTCCCTGGCTGTGTCATCTTCAAACTTTTTCTCTTGTCTTGGGTTGTTTGAATTTCATTTTGCACACTTTTCAATGCCTTTTCCTTCTTTGTGGTGGGAGGGGAAAAGAAGATTTAGAAGCTACATTTTCTTTGCTTTTGGAGCTAAATCTAATGACAGCTGTACCGACAATTTTCTTCTGTGTTTACATGCAGCCAGGAGCTATGGGCGGAGAAGAGGTAAAAGTATTTACTAAATGTTTTGTTTGCTGAATAGTGGGAGATGTAAATATTTAGTTCTCTTATGATAAGATAATGTTACCAATTTTAACAGTATTTGGTTGATCAGTTGCTTCTTATAAATCAATTTTATATTCTTCATTTTGAAAACATCTCCCTTTTTATAACAACTTCAAGCAGCTATGATTTGAGCAGGTAACTCAGTATGTTGCTGTTACTACTGGAGAATGGGTAAATGTTAAGATTCTTTTTCATGACACATATTTGTGATTTTAAATGTGTGGTGTTCCAGAAATGAAGATTGTTTTCAGATGTTTTTTGTTAGACTTTTAATGTTTAGCAAACTTACTGAATTACCTCAAGCATACGTTTTTTTCTTGAATCCCAAGATTGCACTTGGGAACTGCATCAGTTTACCCTAGGTAGAACATTGTGAATACCAATACTAATAACTGTCCTCAGTGGTGAATACTGATAATCAAGAGAGGAAATAAATTTAAAACAAACAAACAAACAAAAAAAAAAAACATTTGAGGATGTTTTAACTGTATTTCATCATTTAAGCAACTCTTAGAAAAGCATTATACAGATGTTGTACAGAGCTGTGTTTATGTTTATTCTGGGAGATTAATGACTGTGGACAGGAGCAAACATGCTGGTTACCAAAAAAGATTTTTCTAATGTACTGTGCTGTAGCTGACACTGACTTATTAACTGAGAAAATAATAGTGAAGATTGTGGCATTTTACAGCTAGAATTGGACAGTGCCATCTGTTTGGGGTACTTTGGCATTACATTTCATTTGATCTCTCTTTTTTATATATATGTTCTGTGGCACCCATGCACGTGACGTTGCTTGGAAGGCCACCTTTTCACATTGTGGAATTTGGGGACAAACCTAGCCATATGAGTTACCCAATAACCTCTAAGTAACTAGTAGTTTGCACTTGTGTGGTTAAAATAGTCGGCTGGACTGGTACTGTTTCTAACATAAAATTTGAGCTGATTTGATTCAAAGCTGATGGTGTTTAGCTTTTAATTTATAGATAAAGGTAAACAGAGAATTGTATTTTTAAAACTTAGATTTTATCCACAAACTTACCTTGCTAGTTTTCCCTACTTCCAGAGAACAGTATTGTTATCCGGTGTCTAAAGCACGTTAATATTTTTCTTTGGTGCTCTCATGGTACTTGAAACATTAAATATCATAAGCTCTGTATGCATGTGAGCATAGGATGGTGCCAAGTGTCTCCAGATTGATTAAATGGCAGCAAAGTAGGAAGGGAGGTGGAAACCATCTGGGCAATGTTAACTTCCAGTAACTTGTGCTGACTTGTAGAAGCAAAATGTAAGTGATGTGGCAATTGTAATCGTGATGCGTGCAAGATAGGCTGTAAAATTCAGTGTAGGCTTCTTTGTAGAAATTGTGGTGATGACAAAACAAGGCAAACAGGTTCTGGATGCGCTGGACTTTCAGGATTGTTTTACTCGGCTAAAATGCATGCTTCCCTCCATAGTAATTGTTGCCTATGTGAATTTGTCTTTTCTATGGTAACTAGTAGGTGTGTGTGTGTGTGTGCGCGCGTCTCTTGTCATCAGTGTTAGGGATTTTGTGACATGCCCTACTCATACAATATTAACCTGTGTGATATCCCTGCTTTTTCAGTATATTGAATTGCATAATGTTGTTTTGAGCTTTCTTAACCTGAAGAACCACACATTTCTTAAGTTGTCTGCTTAAAAAAGATGTGTTGTTTATCAAACGTTCTCATATTCATTGCTTTTACCACTTGCATTGCAGTAATAATATGCAGAGAACTCAGAGGCAAGTCTGTGCAGGGACTCATTTCATGTTTATTATACTGGAGTCTTTTAATTAGTCTTTCACTCTGTCACTGTGACTAAGCATCTTCAGTGGGAAGAGTGTTGTCAGAAATATTTTGGGGGTTGGTGCAACCTATCAGCTTTCTACTTGATCCTTTGTTTCCTTTGTGAATTAAGCTGAGCTTTTTTTTTTTTTAGGTTGCTGAGTTGCGTATCCTGAAAACAAGATCTGTATCTGGTTTTCAAATTTTATTTTACTTTTTCCAGATATGGGTGTAAGAGTAGCTATTGAAAGTCTTTCCTCTTGCCTTGACAACTCAGAGGTGCCAGGGAAGGGCTGCAGGCATATAAAAACAGGGCACTTAGTAATGCTTTTCCATGATACTCTATAGAGGCTTGCCCTGGGTGTTTTCTGATGTGAGGTTTCAATAGCTAATGCTCCAAGATGGGTTTTTCCACTGTTCTCATTCCCTCTTTCAGAAATGATGGGAACTTTTTAGCATCCTAAAAAGCCTGTGGTAATGGGTTCCATAGTTTGGCTTTCTTTGGATTTATGTATGTAATGTACTTGAGCAATTGTTCCCTACTCCATTTTCTCTGTGCCTTTTGTTATATTAAATACTTGCTTTATACTCTTAACTGTATGCTTCACTATAAAGCTTTAGGTCATCATCTCTTGAATTCACTTAATCTGAGTATAGTGCCTGTGAACTGTCAAGCATCTGACCATCAGAGGAGGCATCTTGCCTTTTAAGCCACTATGCATTTTGTTCGATTTCCATCAGAAATCAGCTCTCATTCAGCCTCCTCAATGGACCTGCATTTCAGTTGAATAGCTAAATATTGATTCATTTGATGTGTGAACTTCCATCTTTTTTAAGAAAGCATGTTTGTGGGGGGAAATAAAATATTATTTAGTCTGTAAATAATTCGATTTTCTTACATGTTTACTTCTACCTATTATTACTCTCATTCATGTGCTCTCTCTTCTGCTAAAATGCATACATTCATATATGTGTATAACCTCTCCATGCATTACCAGAATATTTATCAAGTCCTTTCTGGCTTATGCTCTAAAGCTGCCATTTCTGACAGCCAGCTGTGCTAGACTTTAAGAGTAGCATCTCTAAATCCTTCTCTGTTTGTGACATTTGCCCTGTTTCTATATTGGTGCTTAAAAGCACAGTAGGATTTTTACCTCTGTGGATTTTTGCATTTGTGTTCTTTGCCGATGTTCTGCCTTCAATGTGCTCTTCCTACATAAAAATTGAAGCTCATGCTTTGTGTCAGTCAGAACATCTTTTCTGTTGGTTGTTTATCTTGTTCCTTATATGTAGGTTTGCTGCTTCTTTTTGTAATGTAGCCTTTACTGTTCAAGGCTCTATTACTGATCATTTCAGTATATACATTTTTTTCTGACTAGTGTCAGTCTGCGTGTCTTTGTTTTCCACCTTGCCCCTGTTTTTCCTCCCTTTACTTCTGTGTGCTGTAGCTTCCTCTTCTTTGGGTCTTCCTAGAAGTCAATTTCATGTGATCAATTACCATGTAATTTATTTTTCCTGCTATTTATATTTATAGTTAACCCCTCTATAAACTGTTTGTATCAATTAATCTTAATTCTGTCCCTGGGAGCAATCCTACATGATATGAGGGGACAAGTAGTTTCTTCAGAGTTGAGATGAGGTTCCCATTTATACATCTTTCCACTTTACAGGATTTATTTTTCAACTCAAGTATAGGAAATTAAATTCTAAAGCTATTTTGAATATCTTCTATTTTCTGGGTTAATAAATCTGTTCTTAAGATAAGGTGCGTATACTTTGGTAATAGTAGCAACAAGTTATTTGAATCAGGTGATCACAATAATTCACTTTTCATCAAATAACTGAATAGAAGTCATTTGTGTTGCTTTCTGCTCATTCATTTACTGAAAGTGTATTTTAATACTGAGTAACAATTTGACACTGACATAGCTAACAACTTTTTTTTTTTAGTGCAAGTGTTTGTGTTTAATTTAATAAGTCTTTTAAAATTTTTTATCTTGTTAGCTAAGCTGTTTGCTTCACCTACACACTTAACATCCACTACTCAGAGCTTTTCTGTGTTTATTTTGCTGTTTGCCCCCTGCTCAGAAATTTGCCTCCACTCACTCATGGAGAAAGCAATGCAGCTCTTGAGGTTAGGATACTGTCAAGCATTCTGAAGGAGGCCATCCTGCCCTGCAATGCCATGGCTTAAGTGATCTGCATTTTTAACTCGTTTCTTTGAGAGCTGCTATGGAAGCTCTTAAATCAAAAAGGATTGGCTTGAAGTGTTCAAAGGTTCTTTCTGCAGCTATGACAGTTTCTGCAAACAACTTGTTGGCTTCCATTTGCTTAGCCATTCCCAAGAGTTTCTGCTTTAAACTAAATTAAGTTTATTGTCTTCTAAGAATAACATAGTTAGAGATTTGAAAAAATAGGAGTGATACCAATGAATATGATCTGAATAACTGATTGCTTGGTTAGACTTCTCATTAGAAATTCTCTTAGAAGCAAAACGGTGTTTTAGAAAAGGAAATTGTAAGTTTTGACTGAAATATTTAATTGTCCGGGAAATAGCTTTAACTACAGATACTACAAAATCTGTTACAGGTCGGTCTTCACTCTTTCCTTTTGAAGATGGCTTCCTAGACGACAGCCACGGTGATCAGTCTTTATCATCGGGTCTCAGCTCTCCAACACGCTGTCAGAATGGTGAAAGAGTGGAACGCTATTCTAGAAAGGTGTTTGTTGGAGGTCTTCCTCCTGACATTGATGAAGGTACTGTGAATAAGTTACATTGGTGAGATATGGGAATTGGCTTTCATGCAGTTACTTAGGAAACGACATTTTATCATAGAAACAAATGTATTTTTCCAGGTGTATCACTTGTAGCGCTTGTGGCGTTATTTAAAACATCCTCCTCACTTTGTCCCACAACACCTGAGAATTCCCATGATATTCTTCTGTACTGCAGATTAGAGGAGATGAAGACAGAAATGCCTGCATAGCAGGTCTTTTAATCTGCACTAGTAGCATGTGTTCCCACACATGTAAAATAGGAGAGCTGGAAAAAGGAAAAACAGTGGGTACTGTCAATCCTCTGTAGGATTTCCTTTGTTAACAGAAGTTGTTGACTTATGGACTTTCTTAATGCAGTACTTATCAAAATAAATTGGTTTCCTATGCAGCATATATGTAGTGTTCAATTCACAGAAGTAGAGCATTTAATACGGTTGCAACAGTAACCAGCATTTAGTAGGGATGGTCAGGTTTTTTTCTCAGTCCATATTAACTCTGCATGCATGTACACACGCACATTTGGACTGAAACCAAAACATTACAGTTTGGGGTGTATTTTTCATATTGGGGCAGGAATCCATCACTATGTAGCTTCAGTTGGCATATACGGGACATTCAAGGATGCCTTAAAGGGAGGAATCTTTGAATCTCATCACTACTAAATCTGAAGAATAAACTATGGTGCAATTTCAGTTAAAAGAAATAAAAATAAGCTGGATTGCCAATGAATGGTTCACAAACAGCTACAAATACAGTTCCCACATCACATCACCAGTTGCAGAGTTGTTGGTACGGGGACAGCTGGGTCATCTGAGTCTCCAAATACAAGCAGCAGCAGGCCAGCAGGTACAACTGATGTGACCACTGCTGGGACACTTCAGATTTGAAATACATGCCCAGCCTGTCCTGAGAGGAAATAAGAAACATGGCTGCTTGAGAGCTATTACCCTCATACATGAGAGATTGACTCTAGTAACATCATCTTCCTTAAGCTTCTGATTTGTGTGTTCTGTGTTTTGTGTCTCTTGTTGCTTGAAAAATTTAACACGCAGCTCATGGGGATCAGGTGATCTGGATGCATCTCAAGTAGCAACCAAGAATTTGGGAAACAGCTGCTTTTTTTCTTTTTTTTCCAACCTTTCTTTCTGATGAGTTGTTGCTCTGATCTGTTTAGCATTGCATTAGATATAACTCCAAATTACTACTTCCTTTAAAATGCATAAATGCATTGGAAAGTTATATATATTTTAAAAACTTGAATGAATTTGAGGGAAAAAAAGAATTTTCTTTAAATAAAAATTGTTCTATAGGATAGTTGCAGGGATGGTTTCAGATGTTTGCTTTCTGGTGTTTTTAAACTGATACTTTAAAAAAAAAAAATAAAAAAAGCAAAAAACAAACGTGGTGATTCAGGGCAGATTTTCCAAGGGGACTGTGGAGGTGAAGTCCCCAGACACATGGCCTGATGCAGCTTGCTTTCTAGATCGTGCTGCTGCAAGGAGTGGCCGTGCAGACACGTAGCTTCTCCATCAGTCCCCATGTGGCAGCATCTGACCCTGCATTGTGGCTATAATTAGATGTAGACCACAGCTGAAGCATATTCACTTTTGATAGATCATGTTTGCAGCAGGATTAAATGCAGATTTGTATTAGTGGAATGCAAAGTTCCTTTTTTAAGCAGCCGTGTATATTGCAGAACTAAAAGAACATTTAGGCATTATCAATGTACAGTATTGCAGTTTTTGTTGTTCTTGATAGGAACAGAAAATAGACTTTTAAGATAGAAATGCTTACCTTGCCACTGTCAGTCTTCAGTCTTTCTCTAAGGTGCCTCATTTGTTTTTTGTAGATGAGATCACTGCCAGCTTTCGTAGATTTGGACCTCTTGTGGTGGACTGGCCTCACAAAGCTGAAAGCAAGTCATATTTTCCACCTAAAGGTAATTAGCTTAAAATATTTTTATGCAGGCTGTTCTGGTAAAAGGAAATTATGTCTACAATATGGCAATCTATTAAAAAGAAAGGATTTGATTATCAGTGATGAATTTGCTCTTTCAACAAGTGCATTTTCAGCAGTTACCATGATGGGAAAAAAAGAGCGATTCAGTGAATGAAATGTAGCCTTGTATTTCAGCAAGCACGGAGTCCTTAATTTGGTGTTTAACTTATACTAAGCTTAGTTTAGAAGGAAAGTTTTTGAAATTTCCTAATTCTGGTGTGGTTTGTTTATTGTTGAAACCATAAGAATAATAGAATATGATTTGTCATGGCCAGAAGTCATTGGTGAAATGTATGCACAGTATTTTGCCAAGATGCATGAGCCTACTTTGCGTGTGTGCTGACCCAGGAAGCTGTGATCCTGCTCAGAACCAAAAGGTTTGCAGCAGGGTTTGCTGCTGCTGAGCTACAGCAATGAATTCTGCTAAGAGATGGAGTCTTCAGCTCGGGCAGGTGTCAGGCACCATGATCGCAGAGCTGCTAGGCCAGAACTGATTCGTTTCAGAGTGGCTTAGAGTTAAGCAGGTGAGGCTTTTTCACACCCATCAGCGAAATGCTATGCCAACTTATTTAGGGTTTATGGAAAAACTGGCTGGGAGAGTTGCTTGGTTAAACTCGATTGCTCTGTACTGTATCTTCTGCTGTGATTTTATTTTTATACCATATAGTCTGTGCTCAGTCACACTTGCCTCTTGCGTATAGTTTGGGAGTTCATGCATGATCTAAAACTGCAGCATAAAATTAGGCACAAAATTTCTGATCTATACATTAAGATTTTCTACTCTCACTGGATCTCGAAGTTCTTAATGGCTCATTAAGGCCACTGATTATTTTGGCAGAAGAGCGGGCTACTTGGTCACTGAACGAGCTAATCCTGCAACATTTCCATAGATATGGTTTTGATTGTAACAGACAAGTAATGAACAGCTTCTGTGGAATCTTGAGTGCTGGAGGCAAGATAGCTCCGTACAAAGGCTTGTTCTGTAAACAGCATTTGGGGCACTTGCTTTAAAACAGAGCAAGAAAACATACATGTTGTGTCTTTCCTGTCCCATTCTCACAACTCAGCCTTGCTGTCAGGAGTTTTTATGCACCATCTCTTTCTGAATTAATAAATACATGAATAAAGCACATGTTCTTAAGAACAGTTAGTAAAATATGCTTTTTTTTTTTTTTTTTTTTTTTTTTTTTTCACTTTCACTGAAAAGTTTAAAGAACAGTAATAAAGCAAGTTTCTCCTTGTCCCTAATATCTCTTGGTCCTCTCCGCTACAGTTTTAGTTCTCATTAATTCAGCAACTATTTAAGGCAGATCAACATGGGACTTCCAATTATTGTTGAGTTTGTTCTGTATGTGGCACTGGACTAGTTATGCCTCAACAAACCTGTGAAAATGTTTTCGAGTAAGATCTATTTTAGCAGAAGACAAGGGAATGCAGGCTCGCTTCTATTTTTGTCATGGTTCTAATATAGGAAACGGCTTTCAAAGCTCCTGCCAGTTGCCCTGAATGTCTGTCTGAAAGTGCTAAACAACAGTCAATCCCAACTGTTCCAGATTTATTTATAACCGACTTCTTAGTTATCAATCAGGACTGCAGCGTTATGCATCCTGCATTCCTGTCTTTGAGGTTCTCTCAAGAGTTGTACTGAGCTTGGTTGGTTGAATGTGCGTAACTGACTGCGGTTCTGTGCTGGGGCGTCTGCGTAAAAGACCACGAGTCAGCAGCCAGGTTTGAACGCCTGCTGTATTTTTTTTCAGATCTTTTGCATCTATTTTAAAGATAAAGAATACTCCTCTTGCAAGGGTATTATGGAATCATTGAAAGAAGCACTGCAATAAAATACCTCTATTTCTGTTTTTCCATAGAGGCTCCTTTAGAATTAAAACACAGTATTTATTTGTTTAGACTTGTTTTATTTTAGGCTGTTCTCATTTATTATCTGGCACTTAGTTAAAAAAAAAAAAATTAAATGAAATGGAAAGAGATGCTTAAAGTTATGCTTTTGCACAGCATTCAGTGACATCCAGCTGTCAAATAGTAGTGATTTCAGATGTTTTCTCCCTTTTTTCTACCTCTTTCCTTCCATGTCACATTATTAACCTGTAGAATTTCTGACAATTTCAGTAGGGTTATTTCAGATGGAAAATCTGTCCAAAATAAAAATAATATAATAAAAAAAAGAGAGGCTGTCTGGACTGTGGGAATGCAGTGGGATGATGTGGAGGCTAATCTTTGTTCACATGTTAATAAAACTGATCTCTGAGGCTTCTCCCACCTACTTGAACGTGCCTGACTGGCAGTAATGTTGAACCCTCCTCTTTCTGAAAAGAGGCTGTCGCCTCCAGATGGACTTTAGTGGCCTTTTGATGGATAGGCTTTTTTATTACCCCTTTATTTCTGTAGGTCGGGCCAAATGACTATGCCTAGACTTAGAATGAAAGTTGTTTTTTGTTTGCTTTGATAAGCATTCAGTTACTGGCTTGAAGCAGATAGAATCATACCATTGGGTCAGCATAGTCAGCAGAGTTTCACAGTGGGGCAGTTTCATCAGGAATTACTACTTTCTAAGTGCAGGTGATGTCACCCCTTACAGTTCTGAGCATACGGATATGGACTTTCCGCATCTGTTGTTCAAGAAAAATGCTGTGCCTTATTCATAATTGCATGAATTTGTGAAATGTGTTCAACACTGCAGTAGATGAATTCCATTTAGTTGCTTTATGTTAGGAGGACTGTCTTGATATCCTTAAGACTGGGAACAAAAGGCTGCAGGAGCTATTAGCCATGTCTAAGCTGATCAGGCATGAAATCTGAAAGATTAAAATAAAACTACAGTCTAATGACTTTTTTCCCCTCCTCCCTTTATCTGGTGCCTTATCTGGTTAGTTTGGTGGGTAAGTCAGACTGCAGATATGCAGTCTTGATCTGGCAAGACATATTAGCTAATTTATTAGCTGGTATGGTTGATTAGCTTAGGTGCAGTGTCACATAGGCTGCTTTCAGGGCTGAGGTCCAGAAACGTTCTCACAATGCTGAGCTTGAACAAAGATTTTGGCATTCTGAGAATGGTGATGCTACTGGCCCTGTACAGCCACTGCCTTTGCTTAAACACATCAATTAAGATCAATTAAGTGTAGGGCCTGGTGAATGTAGACCAGTTTTGTGTGACATACGCTGAACTGTGATCTCCAGCATGGTGAGTCACGCAAGGCTTATTGCAATCTGATTTTGGACCTGGAGGACTACAGATCAACAAGGATGTGTCTGTGTTGTACTGCTAGGGCGTGCTGCGTACTGTGCCATGCAGGTTTTCCTGTTTTGCAGGTATTCTAGGTCTTTGTTACCTATACCAAATCTTACCTGACACGATGTGTTTGAGGAAGATCTGCTTGATCAGTGGTTAAATTTTGGTTATTACCACAACAAAACCAAAATTATCTGGAAGATCAAAACAGCCCTTACAGGAAACACCAATGAGTTTGGCATTCAGATTGCCAAGAGAACGCTGGTGGTACCCAGCTGTTTTGTCACTGAAAGTGTAGATTATTGCACTAGGGCAAGAGAAGTTGATAACAGCTGACAGTGTGGGTAAGAGGCTTCTATTCCTAGTTGCGAGCATCTGCATTATTGCCTCAACATTTCTTTTTACCTCTCCTATGCGTTGTAAAGCTTAGCACTGTGTTTTTATGTTGGTGTCGTCCATGAGGTGAATTTAATGCTTTGCTTCTGAATAAGGCCAATTCATTACCGCTGTCTGAAGCGTCTTTGGATTATTTCCTTTGGCATCTGCTTGGATGCATTAGTAACAGAACTGGCAAAATGTAGAAATGCCATGTGTTGGTCTCGCTAAGCAGATGCCCAGTTTGTAATATGTTTACTTGGCTTTCACCACAGAGTTTTGGGAACTGAATGTGGCTTGTGATTAAGTATTTTCTGAGTACCTATGAGATGTTGAGAAATAATTAAATACGCACATAAGTAAGTTATCAAATGTAGTTACACATTTCCATGACAGTTTATTTCACTCTGGCAAAATCCAGATAATTCAATTTGTATTTGATTAAAATATGAAGGCTTTCTGATTTACTTACTGGTCTGCTGAGTTAAGCAATGTTTATGCTAACTAGAGACAATTTTTTTCCTACTTCTTTTATTAAACAGATGGTGTCAACGTTTCAAAAACATTCTCCTTTCAGTTTTTTCAACACATTGCTAACTTTAAAACAACACCTTTAAGAAAAAAAAAAAAAACAAAAAAAACCCAAAAACCAAAGAAAGCTTTTACCAATTTATTTTTCTTAGTGATAACTATGATTTTTCTAGCACTCACTGGAACATGTATGACATTTTACAAGGACAAAAATTACTGAATTTTTTCTATTTCTTTTCTTGTAAGAGGAAAGATATTGTAGAGAAAGAAAATGAGGTGGGACAGAACTTGAAGACAAGATGCATTTGGAATGGAGGAATGCATTGACATGATTGATTAAGACGTGCGGTACAACAGTCCGATCCTCTTGTATTTTCCCTGTTTTTCAGTCATTTATTTGATTAAAAATAGATACATTGTACCTACTGCTTACAGGGCGCACAGAGATGAGCAAGATCTCAGGAAGAAAAGAATGCTATATAGAAAGTTGCATAAAGCAACACTGGGAAGTGATTGCTTTCGTTTAAAACCACTGGTGCAGCAGACTTGTTTGAGCATTCCTGATGGTCTCCAAGGTAAACTAGCTGGGAACGCTGTCATGGGCAGTTGTCTGACCTTTGTTGTGTGACTGAGATTCCTTTGCATGGTTGATTCCACTGCCAGTGCAGTAGAGATGGTAGTTTCCACAAGAGCAGCAGTGAATAGTTACAAGGATAAAGCATGGTGCCATAATTCTAACTTCACCAACTAGATTCAGAAATGGGCATCTGGTTTGTCTGAGCGCAGTGATG